CCGGCCAGTTTTTATTCCCATAATCACTTACATACAAAAAAAAAAAAAAAAAAAAATACCTCCCTCGAAAACCCCAACAAATATAAAAAAGTCCCAAGTCAAATTCTTTCCCATATCTCACAAACTTCTGATATAAAAAAACCATCCAGTCTTACACATCTTTCCAATTATTCTTCTAAAGCTACATACATCCCAGAGATTTCTCTTTCTTTCGTAAAATAATTGGAACGAAGACTCCAATTATGACGCTCTACATTCCTTTCAAAGTAATGAGTAAAGGCAAAAACGGTCTTGCCTTAGACTACTCAGAAAAAAACCACATTCACCAACTCCTCGACAACTAAAATCTGCCTAATCACCATTCTTTCACAGTTAATCCCCAGCAGCCAACCCCTTCCAAGACGCCACCATCGTCATTATCATTCTTATCAAACTCCACCACAACCACCTCAACACAACACACACTTTCTGGTCCCTCCCTTGGGTATTTAAATTCGAAAAAGGATTACCCAAACCGTCAATCCAAAAATCCAGTCAGTCCCCGTAGCGCAGTGGTTAGCACCTAAAGACTCTTAGCGTTTGATTTATCCGAACTACCTAAGATACTAGGAGACGTCGGTTCGAATCCGACCGGCGACAAATATCTTTTTTCCCCTTTTTTTTCTTTTCTTTTTTCCCTTTTTTTTTTTTTTTTTTCTTCTCCCTTGATCAGAGCTAATCTCAATTAACTGAGCTAAAATTCTGTGTATATATAATGGAGCGTTAAGCAGGAAGGAGGAGCTTTTCTCCTCTTACAACCTTGAGCCCGTTACGTTCACAAGAGAGTTTTGTTTTTTAGGTTTTTTAAGATTTTTCATTGATCGAGCAATGGTGTGGCTGTCTTAAGTGGAAAATAAAATTCATTTGCAGTCTACATGTATATATGGGAGGAGGATTTTCACTTTATAGTAGAGAGAATACCGAGTATTAAAAGCTATGACCTCTGAAGTCTTGCCTTGAAGTATATGTTGATTGCTTAACTGTAAGAACCGTTTATTCGTCTCTCTCAGACTTTATAGCTCAATGTTGACCGGTTGTGATGGCTTCGCTCCGTGACTGGCATCGTATCATCCCCTTCCCTCGCCCCTATCGACGCCACAAACCCCATCAGAACCACTCTTTCCCCCCCTGGTACCAGAACCAAACTTTCAGATCCCACCAGAGACCCCCGGGGACTATTTAGATTTGAATAATCTTCCCATTTCCTGTCAAATGACACATCCAACAGTCCCCGTAGCGTAGTGGTCAGCGTTTGTGATGCTTTTCTTCAGCGTGTATATTTATCCAGCAATTTGATTCAAGTCTAGCGAAAGACGTCGGTTCAAATCCGACCGAGGGCATCATTTTTTCCTTCTTCCTTCTTTCTTTTATTTTTCCTGTTTTTTTATTATTTTTTTATGTTTCTTTTCTTTTTCTTTTTTTCACGCCGTATATATGCTATGGATAGAGAAGGAACACCACAAAGTCCAAGATGCATTCTCTTTCGTCTTTCATCACAAGAGCCATCGGAATATGAAGTCCTGGGAACAAATATCGGCTCCTACGGTTAAGATCAACAACATACACACACACAAGACCAAATAAGAGTAACAACCTCCAGTATCTAAACCATATAACCTCCCCCCCCCCCCCCCCTTTCATCATTTGGCAATCTCACATAAACCTACACTCCAACTGAATCCAACACTTCTAGCCTTACCACCATATACTCCACCTACCTAGATAAGCAAAAGCCAAGTATCATACCGACAACACCAAGAATCCAAGATGAGCCAAGTCAACTATCTAGACTAAGCCTTATCGACGAGCCCTTCCAAAAAAAAAAAAAAACTCCCAAGAGACCACCAAGATAAGTCCAAGACACCAAGAAAAACATCTCCACCATCTAGATTCAACGCCAACTCTCAAGACAAAAAAAAATGGCAAGAATTACCGTCGTCGTCAAAAATAACCGCGCCACCGAGATTTCTCCTCTCACCAATCCGATGTTCCCATCCGCCTTCAGGAGATTCTCGCCAGATCCTTCCTTTTTTATTTTCTTTTTCCTTTCCCCCCTTTTTCTTGTCTGTCTCGCTACATTCACGCCATTTCCTTGTATATATATACAACTTGCCGCCCTTTTCTTCCTTCCTTCTGTGACGCTCTTGTCTGCTTCCCATACCTTCACTACTATACAGTGTTATTTCGTGTCACTGTTGATATCTGTGTTTGTGTGTCACCGGTGCTCCGTGTAACATGTATGGAGTATGTAGTCAAGGCCTATTCTTGGCAACATCTCTGACGGCGATGACGATACAGAATTATTGTGATCACCATAATGACCATCAAAAACCTACATAAGGGGGTGCCACATGTCTATCTAGTGTTGAAAAGGTCTGGACTCGATTACTGCTATTTTTAAAATCTCAGCAAACCACAACTGTAATAGCCCCATTTTGTCGCGTTTTGTTGCATTTTGTGGTGTTTGTGAAGCAGAAAAAGAATTATGACTATAGAAAGTAAATACATATATATCTAATAATACAGTTTATACAAAAAAGTCTTGATCTTTAAAACCTCATGCACACATATGGAGAGAAGCACACACACATACATAGCCCTTTCCCAACATTACAATGAAAACATGAAAAAAGTGATGGTGTAAAAAAAGCCGACCCTAAAAAGGCTTGTCTCAATTGCTTCTCTCTCTCAAAACAAAACAGGGAAAAAAGAGGGCAATAAAATAGAGTTGCGGACCGGCCCAACCCACCACCAAAAAAAGAAAAAAAAAGGAGGGGATATTACAAAATAAGCGAGTGTAGTACGTTTCGTGTCGTGGTAATCCAAGTGAGTGTCCCTGCTGTCTTCCAAAGCGTTTATAAAAAACCCCCCATTAGATCCCACAAACGCCGAAGTGTATAAAAAGATTGTCGATTACATATTGCTTCGTAAATATCCCACCCTGTGTTGAAAATTTTTCTTTTGCTGTTTTTATTTCTCTTATCGTTTCGTCTCCCGTGAGTAAAGAAGGTAATATGGGGTAGTGGTAGTGGTTTGAAAGGTAGATGTGTCAAAAGGAGGAAAAGTGGTCGATTTCTAGACTGGAGTCCGTTAATCGCTTCCGAGGGTTAAAGTGTCGTTACTTCGTGTCCGTTGAGTTGTAGGAAACCGGTTTAGGCAAATGCACCGACGATGGACATGCCGGCAGCTATTCATCCGTCAGCATACGTAACATCTTGGGTCTATGTGAAAAAAGACTTACCACCAGCCAACACGCAAATGAATGCCTGAGACCGATCCTTCTTGGTCATAGTGTGCTGAGCCTCCTCGCTCAAGAAATCCTCAGCCAACAAATCGACCAGGGAAGCGTACAACAAGAGACCCGACGAACTGCATATATATCGTCAGCATATCAATCTTCATTGCGTCCAAAATAATGATACTCACATAGCATTAAAAATACCAACAATGATCAACCCAAAAGCGCTGTTGGGATCATATGTATCCCTCACAAGCAACCCAATAGCCTGACCAATGGGGGCGGTAGTACCGAAAGCCACCACGAGAACCCAAGGTCTGATGCTTCCCTTCTTGTAAGGAACCTGAGCGATTCTGGATCCAAGGCCGAGACCCTCAAACATCTGATGGAAAAGAATGGCGACCAAAAGAATAATGAAACCGTCAATGGTGATGGAAATGGTCATGCCGACGAAGACGGAGTGGAAAAGAATACCGCCCTCCAATAGAGTAATGTCCATAGCCTTCTTCTTGTATACCATGGGATCAACGCCCTGACCAGTCTCGACGTCGATATAAGGCGAATCAGCCCAGGGATTAGAGGGATCAGAACCGGGGAGGAGCGAGTTGCGGCCGCCCTTCTTCTCATCGGGGTAATAATCGTTGTTGGCAGGTTGAGCATAGCTGGCAGCGTTCTTAATCATGCTGACCATCTCGTGTCTCTGTTTGAGGTACTGCTCATAAAAGACGACAAACCACGCGGGCATCTCGGACCTAAGTCCCATTTCGTTGCTGTCGTCGAAGGGGTTCTCCTGACCAGCTCGGGGGCCATACGGCTGCATCTTCTCATCGTACATCTTGCGAGCCATCTGCTTCTCGTAGTCAAGGTCCTCGGTCTCGAACTCGGTATATGTGGTGTATCTGGGAGGCCGAGACGGAGCACGTTGGTGATTAATCTGCTGCTTCTCCTCTTGCATCATGGGAGCAGGACGAGGAGCAGGGCGAGGAGCAGGAGGAGGGGCATAGTTGTGCTGGTGGGCGGGGGCGCTCTTCGCGTCCCCGTTGCCAAAGTTACCACCATGAGTGTGACCGCCCATCTTGTCGTTGAGCCACATCTCGACAACGAACAGACAAAACATGGAACCCATCATGATGACACCGGGAAGGGCAGGATACTGGTCTGTGAAGAGATCGGGAAGGCATGGGTCGGTAAGTGAGGCAAAGGCCACAGGCAGAAGCTGTTTATTGGTGTCAGTCTATGCCAGGGAGATCTCGGCCGGGCCAACTCACATGAACGAATGCTGTAGCGATAAGGACACCAGTTCCGAAATGCTTGCAAATGAAGAAAGCCTTCTGGGGGACATTCAACCATTTGACCTTCTTGGCCATCACGGGAAAACCAGCACCAATAATTGAGGCAGCAAGGACCATAACTATAAGACCCATCATGTCAGATATCTTTTCCTTCTCTGCCCTCTTGGGATGAAGATTGACTTACATAATCCAGCAACATGAAGTGGCAAATCATACTCGCCTTCCTGCGCACCGCTGCCGCATTGCGGCTTCTCATTACCAAGATCTGCCATTTTTGCTTCTTTTTATTTATTTATTTGAGTTTTATTTGGCACTCCGAACCTGTTCGTCGTTCCTTTCAAAGAGAAGTAAAGAAGACACCAGGTCTATCTTGCCAAGAACAATAAAAAAAAAAGTGAGGGAAAAATGATTTTGTGTTTTAAAAAGGCGTTTATAGCGAAGCCCAGCTTCAAGAAGAGAAGAATAGAGAGAAAAGAAGGGAAAAGAGAAAAAAAGATTGTCAAGTTGTATTATGCACCATGTCAAGTGAACGGTTGGGCAAAAGGAGGGAAAAAAGAAGAAAAGAGAAGAGAACTGAGAAAAGAAACGAATCAGGTCTTAAGTCCTTCAAGGACCGGAGCAACTCCAAGAAGGAAAGAAGTAAGCCAAGGGAGCCAAGCTCACGGGAGTCGCGCTGCTTTAGTATAAGAGAAAGAAAATCTAGACGACATCCATGGGGATGCCTGATTGATCCGCATGAGTCGTGCAAGGTATGTAGAACGGGTCATCCCAACTTGGGCATGGATCCCAGGTTCGGTCTGTGTTGGAAAATGGTAACAGGGTCAAAACGCAACAGAAAGTAAACAATGGCAGCAGCAAGGCAGGCGACTAAGATGAAGGCAAGGTCAAGTCGCGCTGGGAGCAACACCGCTAGGTGTTCTAAAACTTGTGAGACCCTCCGGCACAAAGCAAATCGGCGTATCTAGATTAAAAGCCAGGATTAGAGATCTAACAACAACCCCCTTCTCGAAACCAAACAAGGGGTTTGATATTGAGAGCCCTTGCTCGTAAGAGGAAGATCTTGGGTAACGAAGCTTTTGGTTCCATCTTGGCGACGAACTCCAAACACCAGGGCGGCGCCAACTGGAATGTGCGTGCTCAAGCCAAGATGAACTCAAAGTATAAGTTCTTATATCTGTGGATGAACAGAGGAAAAAAAGAGGGAACAGTAGAAAGAGGAACAAGTTGAAGTTGAACAATACCGCATTCGGCAGTGTGAAACAGGTTCCACCGTCTTAAACGGTGCCACCCCTTTCCTCCACCTCGGTTGCCCATGCCGAAGTTGACATTTTGGAGGGCATCCACTCGGACATTTTTGTGATTCAACGACAAAAGAAATCCAGGCCCCCCTTGTCTGAGTGTCTCTGTCAAACGTTGTACGCACGTTGTGGCAGTGCAATTTGTAAACGTCGGGGAATCGCAGATCCACCACGAATCGTTTTCCCTCAAGTCGAGATTTATGCTTCTTGTTATATAGTGACTGGGTGGATTGATTCATCTCGAGAGAGACACAGAGGGCAGGTGGTGGGAGGCACAATCCTTCATCCCTTCTGATTTAATGATCGACACAAGGATTCAAGATGATTTGTTGGCTCTGCACTGACAGAAGAGGAAGTTCGGCAAGACTTGCCCTCTGGTCAACTGTCTTCAGACGAAGCAAGAAGACGCGATATACAGGGGTGATTTCATCCGTCGACAGGGATTCTCCATGCAATTGCGGCAGACAGGGGAATCCGTGCGATCGTGGGGTACCATCGAGCTTGGACCCGTC